AATCACACAATTCATTCCACCAGAAATTTGAAAAGCGGCATGCTGTACTGTTTGGCATTCGCGCTGAAAACTCCAATACGAACATTGTTTAGGTGTCAATCTGAGGAGAGTGCAGAGGATTCGGAAAGAGTTAGATGATATATCCAGTCAACATCATGGTGTTTGGAGTGATCACTACTGACGGCGACGTTATGCCTCCATTAATCTTCCCATAGGACTTCAGACTCAACACAGAGACCTACATCAAATGCTTTGAGGAGTTAGTGATGCCCTGGGTCAAGAGAGTGGCAGTTGGAAGACCCTGTGTCTGGCAACAGGTCTCTGCACCAGGCCACACAAGCAGGAGAATTAGTCATGGCTGTCAGACAAGTTATGCGACTACATCATCCCTTACATCTGGCCACCTAATTTTCCAGACTGTATCCTCCTTCATTATTGTGTGGTGCTCAGTTGAGCAAGAGACCAACAAAACTCCTTGTAACACCAAAGATAAACTGAAACAAGGATTATGGTAGCATTCACCATCTTCAACAAGGAGACCGTCCAGAAGTGATGCAGGAGATTCCAAAGTCGTCTGGAGGCCATGGTCGAAGCCAATGCCGATTTTATTGAATAAATCTATTCTTTTGTATTTCAAGATAGATATTTTTGTGTAATGTTGGTAAATATGTCTATTAAAATGAGATGTCAGTGTTATTTTCATTTTTGCGTAATTTAGACGATAATTTATCCATCTCACACTGTACATTGCAATAGAACCTCTTCAATACCTCTACAAGACGGGAGAATCGGGTTACTTTGAGATGGTGGCCCCATAGATTTCGCAGTTTTGCCTTTGGTTTATGTGTACGCATATAATCTACTGACCTTGAAACTGGCATTGTGTCAAATCCGACCACTGCGTGTTGGGATCAGTGTGTGTTATCTATGCGTTTTTACTCGGCACTTTTGTCGAGGAACAAAGTGAAGTATGTGTGCTATATGTGAAAAGTTCCACGCACTAAAAATAGATTTATAGACTCTTAACTAAAAGTTGTAAGGAAGCTTCAGTCAATATTAGAAATAACTATTCTTCAGGAAAACAGTTTTTCTCTTTTTCTTTCTCTTGCTCTTTCCAGTATGGGTTGATGTTACTATCTTAACCGTTTATTTGAAGTAGTGGCCAATGTTGGTATATTGATTATATCATTATATTTGTGAACCTCGACGTGGTGTAATAATTAGAAAGCTTGTTTTGCTAGATCAATTACGACTGAGTAGTGAGTTCAATCCTCACTGGGTGCCATATACTTTCGGTATTGTACCACATCTAAGCCGGGCTTAGAAAATCATTTTATTTTCTTCGGGATTTTTTTACAATGATGTTCACCCTGTACAAAGTCCAAGAGCCACTTGAGGTACAGGGTTACAGAATAAGAGGTACAACCCCCCAAGCAAGGAGATAACGTAACGGGCCTGTGGAAGGAAAAGAGAAGGAAAAGTCTTTAGAAAGATCCGGAAACTCAGTCCTAAACTGAAAACAAGGATAAACATCTACCCCGGTTTAAAACACCGGGTAGCTACATATGTTCTCCATTTTATCTGTTGCTGCTATTGAAAATCCTCAAGTGATGTGGTTTCTCTTATTTTGGTACAGTTCATTGTTTGTGATTGTGTAGCGTCAGTCCACAAGGTTCAAAGAAGTGTGGTTTTCATCAATACCCGTAGGCCTCACTTGCTCAAAGCTATTCTAACTATTGATCTTAGAAAACGGTTCTATACAGCTGGCAGTTTAGATGTTTCTGAACTGGTTTGGCGTTAGAAGAAGAGTTAGAGAAGTCTAATTAAAAAAAACAAAACAAAACAAAACAGTTTTAATAAAAAATATTTTATGAATTTCAACCAGCCCTAACCCTAACTTCGGTCAAGGAATACCTAATGTTTTCTGTATGGAAACGGCTATTTTTACCATTATCGTACACTAGCAATAAAACCCGTCTTTGACCGGGTCTTTCATTACTGGGAATTTTTGCTGTAAAATTTGAGCAGTTCAAGTTTAAAGTCAGCCCACCTGAAAATCAATATTATTGACAACATTTGCTTGCAACTGAGGCACATCCCCAAATAGGCAGTTAACAATTGGAATGAGGGATTAACAATTTGAAGCGGGGGGGGGGGAATGAAAAGGGCCGTTTTTGCATTCACAAACTTGTTTCAGCCTCACGCACAGCAGCAGATGCAGAGGCGTTTTTCCTCAGCCGTTGAGTCCTTTGATCATCCTTATTAGCCTTGTGCACAGAAGCGTTTGGATAAAAACTGTGGAAACACATAAACAACATTCGCTCACACACTAGGTGACTTTTGGGACACTCTGTATCTGGGTAACTTTTGGGACACCCTGTATCTGGGTGACTTTTGAAGCACCCTATATAAGAGATTTAGTCTTATTAGTAACTAGTCGTATAACCCGTCTTTGACCGAGTCTTTCATTACTGAAAATGTTTGCCGTTCAATTGGAGCAGTTTAAGTTTAAAGTCAGCCCACCCGAAAATCAATATTAGTAAAAACATTTGGGTGCAACTGAGGCACATCCCCAAATGGGGGGGGGGCAATTTGAATGGGGGTGGCCCTGAAAAGGGAACTGTATAATAATAAATAATATTATTGTAATAATTTAAACTATTTATTTTTATTAATGTTTTTTTTCTGAAAGTTATATATCCAAGAAAAGATAGTAAATAGTAAAACGTTGCTGAGAGTTATAATGGACAGGAAGTAGTGGAGAGCCATTGTCGCCAACAATCTGGACTCAAAACTGGCACTGAAGAATTATCTAGCAAACAAAAAAAATCATCGAAATCGGATGAAAACTGTACAAATGCATAAACAACATCCGATCACACACACACACACACACACACACATATATATATATATATAGAGAGAGAGAGAGGGAGAGAGAGAGAGAGAGAGGGAGAACAGAATTAATATTGCATAGTAATTTCATTCATCTTAGGTTGAGTCATAAATAATAATTTCCATATTTCTTTATTAACTACATTCTTCAAATGATAAAGGCAGCGCTTGAATACTTTTGAGAAAGATTCAGCAAGCTTTGATGTTAGAAAGTTTTCAACGAACTCTTGAATCTGGTTTTCATAGGATAAAGTTTTCCGCATCAAAGTGTTTTGATGGCGATTGGAGTAGAACAGGCTAACTGAGTTCCAAAATTATGATCCTCTGTTATTCTTGCTGTGTGTGGCCTTGCGTTGTCATAGGAGAGAACCACATTTTTCCTTTAATCAACTGTGTACGCTATATATATATATATGGAAAATTTCGCAGTTAACCTGTAGAAAAAGACAATATGTATAAAGATAAAAGACAATAGGAAATCTGTAATATTAGCCGACGCGTTTCATCCAATGTGGACTTTTTCAAGGCAAAACGAAATGAAATTATTAAAAACAAAGTAACTATTAACAAACAAAGTGTCCTTAGCAACTGGAAGAACTTAGAAAAAAGCTGTTGTATTCATATTAATAGTACTTGACACTAATTTTCAGTTGACGATATGAGTACAATAGCGTTTTCCTAAATTCTTCTAGTTGCTAAAGACATTTTGTTTGTTATTAATAGTTACTTTGTTGTTAATAAATTCATTTCGTTTTTCCATTGAAAAACTCCGCGTCGGCTAATAATACAGTTTTCCTGTTGTCTTTTACTTTATATATATATATATATATATATATATATATATATATATATATATATATGGGGGCGTGTGGGGGCGCGCGTGTGTGTGTGCAAGAATTGCATCAGATTTTGACAAATGACAAGTTAACTTACGAGAGTGTGTGGTGCATGTGTGGCGAATGTAAGAATTTGTTTGTTAATTGTTAGTGTTGGAGATGCAATCTCCCAAAAGACATAAGAATTTATAAACAACATTTCTGAGATGATAAATTATTTCTAAGAACTAGATTGGACCTTTTAATTATTTTTTTATAACAGATGATAAAACTAAGGCATTTGTTAGAATCTATAACTTTTATACGAAATACAATGTATAAAAGTTACTTCTATTTTACTGTTTTCTCGCGACTTTAAGTTTCGCGCGTTTTTGCGCGTGTGTGTGTGTGTGTCTGTGGGCGGACGCACAATCGTCAGGCGATTGAAA